AGTGTTCAAGGGTCCCTAACAAGAGTGTAAACTCAACCCCTGCTCCTGTGATTCCCCTCACACAGATGTGCTGCACAAGGTCAGACACAGCCAGACAGGTCTGGGTTTTGTGCTGGGGAAGGCAACCAGGTGAGTAACTGGAAATGGCTCAGAAGCAATCACAGAGCAGCACTGCCATCACATCTGAGGAAGCAACAGCCTCAGCACAGGGAGATCTGGAAGTGAACATCAGTCCTGCAGCCTTGTCCATGACTTCAGCCTCAAACTGGCAGAACTCAAGTAGGAATTTGCTCTGAACTGGGAGTGCTTCCTACTGTTAGCTTAAACTATGCCCAGAACAACACAAGTATCTTTCACTCCTACTTAATCACAAATAATATTGCAACTAAAAAGCAAAAAACCAAAGCCAAACATCTCATTACTAGCACAACTCAATTTTTACAGAATTTACTAGAATTGAAAAAAAAAGCAAACACAGAAAGCTGCTGCTGGTACAATCACTGGCACATTCAAGACTAAATTTCTATATGCACATCAAGATCTTGTATGAGAATCCAGACAAGGTGAGAAGGCTGGCGAGGTTGACTCTTCAAATGCCTTCTGTGAAAGAGACAATTTCCATTTTTCATTATCAACTGTAACAGAAAACAAACAAAACGAAACGACCAAAAAAACAAACCACCAGGAAGCAAAACCCCACAACAAATAAGAACACTGGGCATCAAATGATTTTTTTGAAGTATTCAAGAATAATCTAAAACACAGTCATTTAAATGTTACAAAAGGCTTTGTACACTACACTTGGAACTCTCAGAGACAGAAGGTGTAAGTGCATGGCCCCATCAATGACTTGATCCCTAGGTATGTTCTACAGAGCAGCAAAGGAGCCCTGAACCCCCCTGGTCCCCCAGAGCCCAGGAACAGCTGCTGAGGGCCCTCCCGCCACTGGCAGCAGCTCCCTGGCTACAGAATCCAGAAGCCAGGGCACTGGCAGGGCAGAACTGCAACGCTGCACATTCCTCCTGTGCCAGGGGCACACAGAACCTGCCCAATGCACAGCCCACCACACAGGGCACACCACACTCTCAGCACCTGGCAATTCTGCTGGGGCAGGTTTCTTGGCTGATTTACAGCAAGTTCAGACAGGAACATTAATGTTCACAATCATCTTTGTCTGAAGAATAGTTAGTTATACATGATAGATATGGGAATGCAAAAGCTAGCTAGTGGAAAAGCCCTTGCAAATGCAGCTGGAAACAGTTTAAAACATCCACTTCTGGCCAAAATAATCAGCTTAGAAAGGGAACTCCTGAACAGAAGGGAATGTAGGAAGCAGAAGGGGACATCTGAAAAAGAGGTTGGACAGACAGCTCAGCTTCAAACACAGGAGTGAGATCCACAGAACATGTAAGTCTGATGTATTACAGGAACTGAACTTTGACTGCACAGGCATTTTTTGACCCACAAGAAAGCTTCATCAGAAATGTCCTCTCAGAATTAAGTCACTCAACATAAGCTAAATGAGTTTGCATAACTCACACAGCTGCAGTGGAAAACTTTTGGTTACAGAACATCCAACTTGGCGGATCAGATGTTAAATTGAAAATTCTGTAACAGGAAAAAAAATTAGAAAAATACACCATGAACAAGGTACATACCAGAGAACAGTACAGAACAGGCCCAGAAACACATTTATACTACAAAAATTAGCAATGGTGACAAATCAAAAAGCAAATGTAACCAACATCATTGTTAGAGATCAAAAACTAGAGGAGTCAAACCTTGAATCAAGGTTTCTTGAATGCCTTTACCAGCATCAGCCCTTCACTTAGTTTAAAATATTTTGGCTAGCAGCACTATCTATTCAAAGTATTTCACAAGCAATTCAAGAACCCTGAAATGCTTTATACAAGACCAAATATTCCTCCCTCTCTCCAAAAACTGGAGATGCCACACTCAAACTCACTAAATTACAGAGCAGTGTTTTTGAGGGAGTGGCTCTGACACCTCTGCCTGCACCTGCACTAGATACTGCAGTAACCAAAGCAAACTCTATCCAAAAATTCACCTCATTCCTTTGTGCAATTTTAGACTGAGCAATGTGCCACACCCCCAGTTCCTGTGATAAAGAACATCTATACACAGAGGAGACAGAACATTTCCCTCCACTGTCACAAAGTATGGGAAAGAAACTAAACCAGCATCCTTCCATTCAAAATGGCCAGTGGAAAAACTCTCACCTGGCAATAAAGGACTTCCTTTCACCTCTGCCAATAAACAATCCAGCACTAACAGGACAAACACTGCTGACCTGTACCAGTAACTGGACTGGGTATATTCTGACCACTTCTTTAGAACCTGCACTTCTCAAATGCTGAAGCAAAGCACAATGGGTCACTCAAGTGATGGAGCATTAAACACACAGCACGTACCAAGCCTGGAATAATTTAACTGCCACTCAGAGGTTGATTATTTCAAATCATTTGTGAAAGTATAATGTATTATTCATGGTTACAAATTACTTCTAGACTTCGAAGATGTTTCTGCCCAGTTGCCACCACCACCATCACCCAGGTAACCAGGCTCACTGAAAGACACACCAAGGAAGTAACTGGGATGCACAAATGGCCACACAATTATCATGTTCACAAAAAGCTGTTGAGTTCTTCAGGTATCAATACTGAAATACAAGAGAGCCCTCGGGCTTATTCTTATTACACAGGCACCAGTCTGCACACAGGAAGCCCCAGCAGATCAAGAAATACTTGTCAGGGAGATCATCCAATCAAACAGTGTTATCAGGAAAGGCCCTTAACTTCTAAAAATCGTTTATTTTAACTAGCCCTAGCTGCAATCCAATGTGGTGAAGAACAACATTTTACACCTAGTAGGGTCTTTATCTGTCCTTAGGAACAATAGCTGCATATGAGCACGTCCTTAAGCTAATCATGATGTGATTACACCCACAAAACTACTCAAACATTCCAAACAAAGAACAACCCAGTGAGGTTTCTCAAAGTCAGTGCTGGGAACATGGAAGCACATTAAAGCAGGTGCTGTCCCTCAGCACAGGGGTGCAGAACTGAGCTCTCACCCCACCTCCATGAACACAACAGAGACAAGAAGGCCTATTGAACAGAGTTCAAGGGCCTATTTCCAATTCCCTCCATCAGCAAGCATGAAGAAACTGAACTACTCTTGGCAGAAAGTCCAAGTAAATCCACCTGTAGTTACCAGCAACAAATGAACTTTCCCTAACATCAGCACCCTGTGGCTGAACTCTGCACAGTGCTGACCATACACCCAGCACACAGAACTGTCACCCCACCCAGAGCTCCCCCAGAGCCAACCCAGCCAACATGAAGGCTGCTGCTAAATAATACTGGGATTGTGGAAAAGAAATCTGCCATTCTCATGGTCTCTCATCTCAACACACGATAGTCAGACACAAAGTTTTCTTTTCTTTTTTCCTTTACCACTATCCTGATGAGCATTACACATTTATCCACATAAATACAGGTCATTTCTATTCTTCACTGGGAAAACATGAAAATGTCATCTTGTGCAACACTGATGACTGGGACTGTGTCTTCTGTAAGGAATTTCTAGTGGCATGCCTGCTTCTCACTGAACCAAAACCCCAATACACAGAAAGCTTTTTGTACATTACACACCCCTCATGGTCCTGCACGTTACCACACAGCCCCACAAAATGGGGCCGTATGCACCCACTCCTGTGGGATTCAGGACCCAGCACCCCTCAGTTCACCAACGATGGCAAGTGAAGCACCTGCCTCTCACATAAAGCACTACAAGGAAGAAGCTGCACTGCCGTCATTGGAGAGGCACATGGACATAGCCAGGCGGTGACATTGCCACTTGTTTGCAACAGCCTTTAAAATACACAGCCTGGATCAAATGGAAACAGTGTTGAGTGGCTGGAATACAAGTGAACTAAAATCTGTACTGGAGCAAGAGCCAGTCGGGCCAAAATCACTGCAAGTTCTTTATTAAGTTCATAGACAGTCCTCTCAAAAAATTGCTTCCAAAACAACCTGATGTAGTATTCGAAACGATGAGTTCTATTTCAAAATATTCTAGGGACTTTTTGTGGCAAGTACATAGGCTTCTTTAGAAGCCAGTACATCCATTATCTCATGTATTCCTTAATATCCAGTTCCCAAAAAATTCACAAATATTTCATCTTTCAGTCTAGAAAGAAATACATAAAACCATCAGTAACTAAAAATAAAAAAAGAGCCACTACTACCAACAATCCTCAGCTATGAGACTACATCCAGAATTAAAGTCAACTGGAAAATGCCTCTGGATGCTACCAGAACAAAATTTTCCGGAATTTCCAAACCACAGTCTGTCCTAGGTTGGCTTTACAACCTTTCTAAGCTTTGAATGTCTCAAGTAACACATTGCCCTGTAACATCCACGTCTCAAACCAACACCATAAAAATATGCAATTATATAGGAACTCGAACGTTTATCCTGTGAATTTCATGAAACCCAGAACCTTATTGAGAGAAACCAAAGCCCCAAAGCTAATTTATCCTTCAATTAGCTATAAATGCGTCTGCGCTTATTCATATCACGAAAAATACAAGAAATAAATCAAAGCAGCAGCTCTTTGCCGCGTGTGATTTCCAAGCGCCTAACATAAGCCTTTCTTTTCATTATAATAACTCACGCTTTGGGGGGTTGATTTAACATTTTAACCGGGGGGGTCTCTCGGGGGTCTCTCCCGAGGATCCATCGCGGCCGCGGCGCCATTTTAGGAGGCGCTGAGCAGGCGGGAGGCGGAGCCGAGGCTCCAGCACAGCAGAGGGGCCGCGGCTCGCCCGGCCCCGGCTCCCGGCCCGCTCCCCCCGCCGGGCCGCGCCAAGCCCCCGGCCCGCCCGAGGCCCCGCGCCCGCCCGGCCGAGCGGCACCGCCCCCGCCCGCAGCGCCCTGCCCGGCCCCGCCGCCGCCCGCAGCCCCTCGCTCCTCACCTTCTCGCAGAGGCTCTTCACTTGCCCCTCGGACAGCTGCTTGCACTCGTTGAGCTGCTCCACCCACTGGTCGAGCTCCTTGGTGAAGACCTTCTCCTCCATCCCGCTCTCCTCCTCCTCACCGGCTGCTGCTGCCGCACCGCCCCGCGGGCCCCTGCGATCCGCGCTCCCCACAGCGGCGGCGGCCGCGACGCGTCAGGGCGGGCGGGCAGGCGGGCGGGCGCGGGGAGAGGGCGGCCCGGGGCACTCCGGCTGCGGCAGCGCTGCCGCTCCTCGCTCCGCACCGTGTAATGGCCGCCGCTGCTGACGTCACCGCCCCGGCCCCACCGCGGGGAGGGGGACGCCGCGGGAGCCGAGGGCGCGTGCGCGGCGCCCGGGCGGGGCCGCGAGTGCGCTCTGAGGGGAGGGGGCGGGTGAGGGCAGCGAGCGCGCCCGCCATGCTCGCCATGCCCGCCCCGAGAGTGGGGGGTGGCGGTGCTTCGTCCCGGTCCTCCTTCCCGGGTCTTCTCCTGAACCCCCGGGGGCCGGCGCTCTCCCCATGCCGGGGTCCGTTTGAGGGGCGCGGCACAGCCCCGCCCGGTCGCAGCCGTAAGGCGGGAACCAGAGCTCTGCCGTGAGGGGTGGCCGGCTTCTGAGCGCCGGCTCCTCGGGGGCACAGGGTGGGCAGTGTCCTCGCCTGCGAAGTGCCTGCTGTGGGGTTGGGAGGCGATATTTGTAGTGGCTTTGTGTCGCTCCGCAGTGTTTGTGGTTCTCCCTGCACTTAATGCATATCGGTATCCCCGAGGCGGGTGCCAAGAGGCTGGTGCCCGGGTCTTTGCAGTGACCGGACGAGGAGCACTCGCCGTAAACTAAAACACAAAAAGTTCCACTTCCACACGAGAAAGAACTTCCCATTGTAGGTGGCAAAGCACTGGAGCGGGCTGCCCAGAGAGGGCGTGGAGTTTTCCTCTCTGGCGGCTTTCAGAACCCCCCTGGACCCGTCCCTGTGTCATTGCTCCAGGGGGCCCGGCCCTGGCCGATGGGTCGGACTGGGGATCCAACCCGAACAGTTCTGTGATGCTGAGCCCGGTTACCGTGTCTGTCAGTGAAGTGGGGGGTGCTTGCTGGTGTTGGGTACTTTGAAATAAAGCTTTTTAGTTCTAAGTCATGGGCATTAAACACTATCTTAATTGTACCACCGGGAAGTGCTTAGGTTAAAAAGGCTATGCTGGATTTCTTTAAACAATTTATACTGAATGAGTTCGAAGAAGTCCAGAGTTTATTATGGCCTTTTTAGACAGAAGTAATGCATGAAGTGCAGTGTAAGTGTTCAGTAAAGGGAATTAGTGGTGGACCTTTCAGGAAACTTTCAGGAAGGTGGTATTTTTTCAGGAAACTAGTGGTGACCTCAGCTATCTTACTGTGCTCCGACACTTGCTACCTAAGGGAAAATATGTCAGTAAGACACTGATAAGTTGCAATAAAAAAGAATGTAGGAAATATGCAGAACCAATTTCTAATGAATTATGTATTTTATTGCAATCTGCATCTTAAATTATAGAGGAAGATTTCCCCTAAATAACTTACAAAAGGCACGAAATGATCAGTTTAATATTTTTTCACTTAAATGGGTCAAAATGTTGATAAAATATTGATTTGTTAGTTTCAAGAGGGCACAATGACTTTTCCTAGTTAATTTGTATTAATTGTCTTGGTCATCACTTGCCTAATACGGAGTCTGACTTGTTAAATTCTTTGCCTACTATTGAAGGAAATTAAGAATTCCATAGTGAGCAAGGAGCAAGGAATGTTTGCTTTCATGGGTCAGTCTCAGTTTCTTGATGTCATACTCTCCTGCTAGACAAGTTGATTTGAATTGCCTGACTTAGGTTTTGTTTATCTTCCAAAATAACTTGGCCATTCTTACACAGGTTGCCATCTTCAGATGACCTTAGTTTTGTGCTTAAAGTTGTAGAAGGAAAAGTACCGTTCATTGAGAAGTGATAGGTTTCAAGAATTCACTTCTTGAATTCTTGTGTGTAGCACATCTTCCCAAAACAGTCTTGAGCAAATATATGCAAAGAGTATGAAACAATAACATCAACTCTTGGGTAATTTGCCAAGCTAAAGTTCATTTTCTTTAATAACTGTTGCCTTTCTGGCATAGTTACATGTTTGAGGATCACACTGCAAACCATCTACACAAGCTGTGCTTTCCTCGCACCTACCAGGTAAAATGTGGCAGGATTTCAGTTGCAGTTTTGTAGGCAAACAAGCCAAGTTTAAAGTTTCTTCCAGCTCTTGTGGATCAGGCTGGACACCTCACAGATTAACAACCACTGCTGTCTTCAGAGCACTTGTGATGGTTCCCAACCCCACTGTTGGTTACCAGGAGCGTAGTGGTAAAGAAAAGAACGTTTGTTTGAAAAGGCTCAGTCACAGCTCGTTTCTAGACAAACTCCACTTGGGAAGGGGTCAGTGATTCAGCACTCCCTGCTTGCTGCTGAAAGCTGAAGCTGTGCCACTCACTGCAGGAGAATTCAGGACTCTGCAGAGGACATTCAGGATCCATTTATCTGGACACTCACAGAGAAGGGGAAAGCTTTGGTTTCCATCTCCATTCCAAGCATTTGCTCTGTTTTTATCCTCATACTCTTTTGAATTGTCTATATCTGAATCAGAAATCAGATCTCCTTCCTCTCTCTGACTTGGGAATGACAATCAATAGTTTAGAGAATCGCGGTTGCTTTTCTTAGATATTTATCTGAGCCTTCAAAGGAGAATGTAATAATGAAAGGATACGTGCTGTGTTGCATAAATTGGGTGTTTGTCAGGGCTTCAGATACACAGTAAGATTAAACTGTAACCTGTGAGATGGCAGTAATAAATTGTATTTAGTATGTGAATATATGCCAGGCATGTGTGTGGTTTGTACCTAGGCAGCTGTCCGGGTGAGGCTGCCCCGGTGAGTCAGGGGTATGGAGGCCACACTGCTGTGCTGACACCTGAGTCAGGGACCAATGTGTCACATGTGTGGCATTCTGGGGAGAGGTGAACTGGTCAGGCTGACAGTGCTTGTGTTTGCACACATCCAGCTCTAGGTTATTCAGGCTAGCCTATAGTGCCAACTCATTCTGTACTAGTCTGAAATTAATTGAAACTCATGGACCAGGGTGTCAGCAACTGCAATAATCTTATCAGTAACACCAACATTTCCATTGTACTATGAGACATCAGTGTTTAAATGCAGATTTATGTAGATTTGTATCACACCGTCCAACTACACAACGTATTGTCAACTTAGCATTGTAGAGTAAGGAACACGTAAATTGGTTTCTTCACACTTGATTCTCTCTGAATATTTTAGTGATTCTAAATTATCCATCAATGCATGTCCAAAATGTCTGTTGCTATGGTTTTTTAATGCTAAATGCAGAATTAAAGGGCTATGCAATACAATATAAAACTACACTGTACAATTTAAAGGCTATACAGTAGTGTAACAATGAGCTGCCACCTTTAGATGTAGGCCTGCCAATTTTGATTAACACATGTATTTCTGCAAGCAAAGAATATAGACACTGGTACATTAGTGTGGAAGTCAACTGCCTCCATGAGAAAAGGGACTTCTGATCAAATAAATTCAGAAGTACACACCATGAAGTCTCTTGCATATTCAGATACTGGCCACTACTGGGTAGAATATATGCTTTGTGTCTCAATAGTGCCATTAAATCAGATAAGCCTGTCATCTTAAGTAGAACCATTGCAAAAGACCGAAAGAAAAACAGAACACTTTTACATCAGACATTTGTTACATCATCACAAACAAATACTATTTCTGTGTATTTGACTAATTTCAGAGTCCAGATAGTACATGACAAAATCAGTGACATCAGTAATACCACTATCAACAGTGGCCCACTCACTTCAATGGAATGGCTTCTGTAAAAGATAGAATCTCATTATTAATCACCTTGTATACCACAAAACATTTTACTGAAATCTGCTAGTTCATCATTCACCCTTATGCTGTAGATAAAGCAGGAAGTGCAGTGTCTTGCTGAAAGAAGAAATTACAGAGTAACCATGAAAATCACATTTTCAAATCACTATGGTTACAGATATTTCATAATCAAGAGTCTTTTAAAAGCTAGGAATAGAGTGCTGATTCTCGAATGTTGGGGGCTTAATATTTTACAAATCTTTTATGTCCTGCTCTCTCTGTGTCCAGCCTGGCTGGGTGGGAGCACTGGGGCAGTGGGTACATCCTTGTGCACCTCAGCACAGGGCCACGTTCCTCCTACCTATCATCTACCAGTTTTAATCTCTAGAATACTTGACAAACACCACCTCTGCCAGGACAAATACTGTCACTTTATCGCCAGATGGACAAATACATGATTTCAGCTTGATCAGGAAACAGATACTGAAATCAACTCACTTTCCAAACATGACAGAAGCACTGACAGTCGAGAGTAGAGACCCCAGTTCAATAGATACTTGTGCCCATCCTTAAATTCCTTCCTTTTAAACAGATAACATAAGCATCTGTGAAATGTCCTGCTAAGCTCATGCTGCGAGGCTGTAGGCTTGCTGATTGCTGGTGTAATGCTCTGATCAGCACAGCTTGTGTTACAAGTGCTTTCTTTGGAAAAACTCCTATTATTCAGTCCTTTCCATAAGCTATGTTTAAGTGCACAACAAATTATTAATACGTACAAGCAGTTGTCATGGAGATAATGTGATCCCAAGTGCATTTTTTGTAAGTGGCACAAACCTGGCACATCCCACATGCCTTGTATGGACAATTCCTACATAATGTTTCCTGTGTTAGATATGGGATAGATATATATCTTTGCTTTTTATGCCAATACCCAGTGGAGAAACCACTGCTTCTGCCTTTCAGATGGCTGGCTTTAGGAATATGAAAAATGTAGGACTTGTAAGATGTGGGGTTTTTTAAGCTGCAACATATTAAAAAGGGGCTGAACAACTAATTTCTGTGAAATCTCAAACACAATGCAACATCCAAATTATGGCTATAACCTCGCAGAATGTATTTTCTCTCCTCATCTAGGTCCACAGAATTATGCCAAAATGTAGTAATTAATCCAAAAGAAGGCAGCTGGCTAATGTAGCTGGGGAGGCTTCAGGGCCATAATGAGGATAGTTATCCTTAGAATGAGGCTGCTATCCTATTAAATGTCTATAAATTCCAGTG